CATGACAAGACTAAATGATTTTGTAGGGATAACTTTCTTTAGCCATGATATTTTGAAAGACATGATTGCTTGTTAGTATGCTTGAAGTATTATTGTTTTATGTCAGTTATAGAATATTGTTTTGAATCTTACGGATCTGAATATTCATACCGCATAAAAGAAAGATTACATGATGAACATGTTAGGTAGCATTTCACATAAAAAAACTATTTTTATCATTTATCTACTCAAGGACAAGCGGGAATTAAGCTTGGGGATGCTTATACGTCTCCAACGTATCTATAATTTTTTATTGTTTCATGCTATTATATTAGCAATCTTAGATGTTTTATATGCATGAATATGCTATTTTATATCGTTTTTGGGACCAATCTACTAACCTAGTGCCCAATGCCAGTTGTTGTTTTTTGCCTGTTTTTGGTTTTCCAGAATATCAGTACCAAACGAAGTCCAAATGCCACGAAACTTTTTGGAGATTTTTTTCCTGGACAAACAAACACTAGAAGCTTCGGGAGCAAGTCAGAAGACGGAGGAGGAGGCCATGAGCCACCAGGGCACGCCTAGAGGGTAGGCTCGCCCTGGTGCCTCATGGGCCCAGCTTCACTCTGTTTGACCTAATTCTGCCTCTATAAATTCTCTAAAATTGGGAAACCAACAGAGAGCCACCCAAAACACTTTTTTCGTCTCCGCAAGTTTTTGGTCTCAAGAGAACCCATCTGGGGACCTTTTTTGGTACTCCTCCGGAGGGGGATTCGATCACGAAAGGCTTCTATCAACCTTGCTGCCCTTCTGATGATGTGTGAGTAGTCTGCCACAGACCTATAAGTCCGTAGCTAGTAGCTAGATGACTTATTCTCTCGCTTTGATCTTCAATACATTGTTCTCCTTGATGTTTTTGGATATCTATTCGATGTAGTCTTCTTTTGCGGTGTGCTTGGTGAGATCCAATGAATTGTGGGTTTATGATCAGATTATCTATGAATATTATTTGAGTCTTCTCTAAACTTTTTTATGCATGATTGTTATAGCTTTCTATTTCTCTTCGATCTATTGATTTGGTTTGGCCAACTAGATTGATTTATCTTGCAATGGGAGAGGTGCTTTGTAATGGGTTTAATCTTGCGGTGAGTTATATCCCAGTGACAGAAGGGGACAAAACCCGTATTTGTATTATTGCCATTAAGGATAAAAAGATGGGGTTTAGTCATGTGTGTGTTGCTTTGTCTACATCATGTCATCTTGCTTAAGGCGTTACTCCGTTCTTGTTAACTTAATACACTAGATGCATGCTGGATAGCAGTTGATGTGTGGAGTAGTAATAGTAGATGCAGGCATGAGTCAGTCTACTTGTCTCAGACGTGATGCCTATATACATGATCATTGCCCTGGATATCGTCACAACTATGCCCTTTTATATCAATTGCTCAACAGTAATTTGTTCACCCACCGTATGCTTTCTATCGAGAGAGAAGCCTCTAGTGAAAACTATGCCCCCCTGGTCTATCTTTTATCATATTGCTTTCGATATATTAAATCAAAAACCCAAAAATACCTTGCCGTAATTTTTTACCATTACTTTATTTTGTGTTTTTACTTATTAATCTACATCTTTAAGTTTAATCATTGCAAGTAATCGTTGAAGTGGTTGACAACAGCTTTATCGCGTTGGGTGCAAGTATTTGTTCTTTTGCGTAGGTGCTGTTAATGAGACCTTGAGTGGTTCTCCACTAGATTGATACCTTGTTTCTCAACTGAGGGAAATACTTATCTCTACTTTGTCGCGTCACCCTTTCCTCTTTAAGGAAAAAACCAACACAAGGTCAAGAAGTAGTAGGTAGCAACATGATCACACCATAATTGAGACATTGCACATCTAGCGTCCCATTATGAAATTGTCTGAAGAGCGACATGATATCATCCTTAACAACATCCCATCGCGACTGATAGAATTTTGACTGGGATGTTGTTGGGGGCATGTGGCTCTGTTAGAAGCCATGGCAAATAAGGCCTCCTTTACTTTTGCTTCTATGAACTCACGGCACGTGACAAGATTATCACACTCATTTAGTTTTCTTCAGCTGACCAACTGTCAGGATCTAAATGAAACATGTTGCCAGGTGCAGGACCAAACATGTCCTTGTAGAATTCCGTCGCATGAGCTATCAGATTGCCTATACCTTCTATCTCGACATCACCAACTCCCAAGGAGTGAATTGTATTTTCCCTCTTAGACCTCTTCCAATGCAAGGGTGCTTACATGAGGTGCTAAGGGCATTAAATACCTTAGAAACTCAACTTCACAATGCATAGGTGCTTAACTTGTTGTTGCTAAGCACACTTTATTTAATGAGTTAGCACCTAAGGTCTTTCATGCATTGGTCAAATTGTTTCATTTAAGTGGTTTGCCTAGGTTCCCGCGCTTGGCCTTGGTTCTTCCTGGGGTCACCAAAGTACTCTCTTCCCTCCTTAAATGTTGTGCCATGTCATTTTTTCGCTTATGTGGCAAATGCTTAGCACCCGTCCACGGTGGAGCACTGGGAAGGGCCTTACGTCCATTAGCTATCTTATGGTAGTAGTCAGTGTTTAAATCACCTTTAAGCAACCATTGTTCGTGCAGTTGTTACAACCAAAAAAATCTCCTCATTCACCAACAGTTCATGCAACTCAGTACTAATATCAATTTTAATACCATACAACTCATGCCGTCCTATGATGTTGCCTTCCGTGTCTTCTCAACGGACGTGGGTTGTCACTGTGCTCTCCCACCTTGTGCTCCTGCGCTACTTCTTCCAGCCATGACCGAGGGCCGTAGCGAGAGAATTTGGCCGACCGTCTTTGGTTGCCAGAGCCGAGAGCTAGGGGGGAGGTTAAGGGCGTGATCGGGCGGCGAGATGAACGAAGGAGAGGTAGAAAAAGAGAGGAAAGCCCGGCAATAAACATGAACCCCACCGGGCCAGGCCACGTGCGACCTCAGGAGGATGCGTGCCGCATGCGCCCGCGTGCATAGGCGACCGATAATCGTTGGAATCGGCCAAACGATTTTCAATCGTCAACTTCCCGATAGAAATATCTACCTGACGGGTCCTTGGGAAAGAAAAGTGCAAACCCTCATCCCGCACCTGTCCCGCATAGAGCGATCCACCCAACGCCGGTGCCGGCGGTCGCCCTCGGCAACCACCACTCGAGACTCTTCTCCGCCGCCCGAGTCCACCCTCCTTGTACCCCAGGTCTCACCACCACCACCACCAGTCTTCCTCGTCTCCGACTTGCCTAACCTAATTCCCCAATCATGCCTTTGTCGTTGCCAGAGCCGAGAGCTGGAGGGGGGGGGGAGGTTAGAGCATCTCCAACAGACGCGGCAAAAGGCGCGCCCGCGCGGTAAAATTGCGTTTTAGCGCACGCCGGCCGGTTTCGCGCGCTCCAGCGGTGGCGGGAACTTACCGTGCGCGGGAAGCGTTAGCGCGCGCATGGGAGAAAGTGGCACGCGGCGCGGTAGATTTGGCGCGCGCGGCGTGCCTATAAAATCCCGCGCTCGCCACACACATAGCACACTGCCACGTGCCCTCCTCCTCGCCACCTCACCGCTTTTTCTCGCCGCTTTCCTCGCCACCATGCCGCCGCGCCGCCGGGGTTCTTCGGGCTACCGCGGCGTCCGCTAGCGCCCCAACGGCTGGTACTCCGCCGAGATCCGGTCCGGCGACATCCGGCTCGGCCTCGGCTCGTTCCAGAGCGCGCACGAGGTGGCCCGCGCGTACGAAGTGGCGGCGTGGCGCTTGGACAGGCCCCGGTAGCACATGAACTTTCGTGACGTCTTCACGCGCGAGCAGGCAGCGCGTCGCGCCTTCGCCGTGTTTCATCACCGACCAGGACCGTGCGGACCACGTGCGGCAGCAGCGCCGCTCCTCATCGTCGAGGAGGACGAGTGAGCCGTGGCGGAGTGGCGCCGTCGCCACCCGGAGGACGTCGTCGCCGAGAACGAGTTCTGGACAAAGAGGACGGGAAGGCGCCGCGCGGAGCATGTCGACAGGCGTCGGCGCAAGGCACTGGCTTTATCGCACTGCGATATCGTCGAGAACGGAGGGCAGTCGATCTTCTCCCCCAACGATCTGCGTTGGGATGACATGTGGCTCGACACCTCGGACAACACCACCGAGGATGACGATGGTGATGATGGTGGCGGCTGGGAGTCACCGTAGTTTGTCTCGTTGCGCCGTAGTTTCTATCTAGTTCCACCGTAGTTTTATCTATCTATGCTTTCGAACGATGTAAAATACCTTTGTATCTGTAGTTTCTATATAGTTCCACCGTAGTTTTATCTGTGCTGAACTATGTATTGTATTTTATCTATGCTAGAACTATGTATCGTTTTTTAGCTATGCAAAGTTTTCATAAAAAAATGTTGTAGCATGCGCGCGCTGCATTTTAGCGCGCCTACTGGAGCTACGCGCGCGCTGCATTTTAGCACGGCCGCTGGAGCCATCGCTGCGCGCCGTGCCAAAACAGACGATGAACGCGCGGCAAAGTAGTTTTTAGCACGCGGCTTGTTTGCTGGCTGTTGGAGATGCTCTTAAGGGCGTGATCGGCGGCGAGATGAACAAAGGAGAGGCAGAAAAAGAGAGGAAAGCCGGGCAATAAACATGAGCCCCACCGGGCCGGGCCACGTGGCGACCTCAAGAGGATGCGTGCCGCATGCCGCCCGCGTGCATAGGCGACCGATAATCGTTGGAATCGGCCAAACGATTTCCAGTCGTCAACTTCCCGATAGAAATATCTACCTGACGGGTCCTTGGGAAAAAAAAGGGCAAACCCTCGTCCCGCACCTGTCCCGCATCGAGCGACCCACCCAACGCCGGCGCCGGCGGTCGCCCTCGGCAACCACCACTCGAGACTCTTCTCCGCTGCCCGAGTCCATCCTCCCCCCTTGTACCCCAGGTCTCACCACCACCACCACCACCACCAGTCTTCCTCGTCTCCGACTTGCCTAACCTAATTCCCCAATCATGCCTTTGCCGCTGCCCAGATCCATGGTCCTCTCCCCTATCTCCTTCCATCTCCCCGCCCCTATGGATCCATACGTCGCCGGCGGCACCACCCGACACTCCGGCCGTCCCGATTGGGTCTTACTCCACAATTCGGCTCGTATCTCGGGACACCGGAACTCGACCACCGCCGGCTGTCACACGATGGAGGGCCGCCCCATCGAGGTGTCCTTCTGGCTCGTTGACCCACCGGGAGTCTCCTACTTCTCCGTCCACTGCCCTGGCCTCAGTAAGGACTTCCAGGGCGAGCCCTACGTTCACTGCGCGGAGGCCGCTCTCGTCCTCTTCAGCGTGACCTTTCTCCCCGTCCCTGGCCGGAGATCCATCCAGCACTTCGTCTACAGAGCCGGCCCGGGGGCGCCCTCGCTGGACCTGATTCCCGACCCGGACAAGATCAGAAGAGGCGATCGATATGGCCTCTTGCCCTGTGGCGATGACACCGACCACTACGCCGTGGTCTTCCTCGACAGGAATTTTATTGCCTATGACAAGCCCTGGCGTTTCAATGCTCACGTCTTCTTGTCGGCAACAAGGTCGTGGAGCAGCAAGGTGCCCTTGTCTTGCCTATCTGAAGATGATCAGGCATTGCTGCTTAAGCATGGCACCTGCAAGCCGCCGATCATGGTAGGAGCAACCTCGCTGGGCTGGGTCGATCTCTTCAGAGGCATCCTCCTTCTCTCCGACGTGCTCGGGGACTGTCCTGTGGTCAAGTACATCCAGTTGCCCGCGTCAAGGGTTTGCCACATGAACAAGCGTGGCTTCCCTTACACTGCCAAGCAATACTGTTGTGATGTCTCCTCCTGCCGCGACAACAGTCTGATCAAGTTTGTCGAGATGGAGTTCAATGAGCCGGACCGCAGGAACAGAGGCGGCCAAGGCTGGAGAGCCATCATGTGGGATACGACGGTGATTTCAGATGGTTGGAGCCAGCGCTTCAGAGTTGATGTTGATAACATTTCGGTGGACAGAAGTTATTCTGGTCTACTGCCTCAGCTGTGGAATGGCGAGACCAGAGAACTAGAACTGAAGAGACTGATTTTGTATACCCCCACGCTGAGCGTGCACGACGACAATCTTCTTTACGTGATGGCTAAGATGAACAGTGAAGACGATAAGGCCTGGGTCATCACCGTCGACATGAAACGCGAGGCCGTGGAAGCAATCGCCCCGTATTCTACCAGAGGGCGCAAACTCACTTCATGGCATAGTCCATGCACCTTTCCAGAGTACCTCGACCCGGCGACCCCAGGTGAAGTCATTCTCCCTTCTTTCTCCTCAATTCGGATAGGATCCAATAGTTGTGAGGGGACTCAGGTTGAAATTGCTCCCTTGTGAAGCTATATGGGCATTTCCTTGCTCATGCTTTTGTATGTAATTGTTTCTTTCTCCAATTTTTACAGGGGATCATGTGGCCATGCACTCTAGGAGGTAATTCATATATTGCTACCCTTACCTGTTCCAGCATTTTGTATTTGCTTTGTGTGACATCATGTTGATTCCATCTGCTGCTGTTGATGCGACTTCTGTTGGATGCCTCTTGCCAGGATTTGTGCGGCGGACTGTGTTCTGCAAATGCTGTTGACTCGAGACTGGTTCAGGGAAATTGGTAAGTGATTAGTTCACCCTCGATGCACTAGCTTTGTACTGGCTTTGATTGTAATATATATGCGAAGTCACAGATGTTCAACCAACAGTTAGCAAGTGAAATATTTGTAGAGTCTTGATTTAGAAGTAATTTTCTTACACCAACTGCAAATGTTTTCTCAATTTATTCCGCAACATTACTCTGAAAGTTTGACTGCTTGTTCTGTGAATTCACCCTTCATTTATGTGTTCTACTTTCTGAGTGTAAATGGCAGTCCAGTACAGTGCTTGGAGTTTATTTGCTACATACAAGTTACTGTGAGTTGACTGTCATGACAAGAAGATTCACAAATGTATGATCCTTTGTAGGTGAACGCTTTGAATTTGAGAGGCCAACCCACGTTGAGTGCCTGTCACTAATTCAGTGTTGCCCAGTATCATCTGTTCTTTCAGATATCCAAGAAGTAAGTATGTTCTTAAGTATTAGTCCACGGTTTCGCGTTATGAGAATAAGATTGTTTTTTAATTCTATTTATGTAACTTGTCCTAACCATTTGTTTCTTCAAATTATGCACGCATCTTTGCTTCCACGAACCTGAAATGATTAATTGTCTCTTTAAACTATGCACATAGCCGTTGGTAGCGTATTTATATTCCCATAGTCCTATACTAGTTTTATTACAATTCAGGTTATTTGATCCCTTTTTTACGCAGGTGGTAAAATATGCTTTCTCTACTGGTGAAGGCGAAGCTGCTCCCAAAGCTGTGGATTTATGCTCACGGTATATAGTATATGAGGAAGCATTTCTCCGATGCTTAGCTGTGTATACCTCACCATAATTTTTGTTGTTTCCTAGAGCTTTTGAAGACTTCGATGTGCTGCTACGCGAGTTATTGCATGATCCAGCGTCATCTACCGAAGGCATGAGTTGCAAAATCAGTGTTGCCCTTCGAGCTTTAGACAGGTTAGAGAACAAAAGACCTTTTTGCACTTTATCATCAACAAGAAAAGGAATCATTTAGTGATGGTGCATTTTCCATCTTTCTCAGTATCTTGGACATTGTGCCACCAACCTTGAGGGCGCTTGCGGATGCCTGTCATCAAAAAGGAGGGAAAACAATATTTGATCTGGGTGAGGAGCCTGGTGATCCAAAGGACTTGAAACTACAGTGCTCTCCTAAAGCTAACAACCTTACATGGTGCAAGCAGCCAGTCGTCTATTCAAAGAACAGATCTGACGAGTTGCAGCAGTGGGGATCCAACCTGATTAACCGTTTCCAGATAGGAGGGAGGACGGTATTTGATCTTGTTGAGCAGGCAAGAGATACAGAGGACTGGAAAGTGGAGAGCTCTTGTGATGCTAACAACCTTTCTGGCGGCAAGGACAAGGGCGGATCTTACGAGGTGCAGCAGGGGAGATCCAAGCCCATTAACCGCCGGCAAAGGAAGCGGAACCAGGCACGGGGCAGGGAAGCTGGCCGTGATGAACGATTGGTGGTTCCATATTGCCGCCAACTGGAGCAGTATGTGTTGATTTTCTTGTGCCTGCTCTTCATTGCCTACATCTGTGCACCGATCACTATGAAGTGGTTAGGCCATGGCCCTTTAGTATCCTACTAGTGCATACATTCCGTCTAATATGTGCACAGTATCGTCATATCTGCATTATGTAAGAACATACTTGCATTATGTAAAAACATAAGCTTATATGAGGGGATGCCTCCTGTGCGTGGAGTAGCATGGGATGGTACTGTTGTGGACAAATTTACAAGCACGTATGTATCAGCAGTACACCACCAGGTTTCCTTGTTTCTCTACAAAATGTGGCCTTTTCCAGCAACTATGGTATGTACCCATACAAAATGGGCATGCTCTTGGCAACCATAAGCTTTTATCCATTCAAAAGGGAACCTGCATCAGTGAATCCTGTTTGACGCCTTAATCTTCTGAAGAGCTCCCATCTTTTTCTTTCTTTCGACCTTTTTGTTTTCATTTTCATCTTCATCTCCGCGTTTTTTACCTTGTGTATTTGTAATATTTTCTTATCATTTAATATTTAATTTCCAGGTTATGTTGTTAGAAACACTAGAACCTTCTTTAACCCAAATGCTGGGCAACGCGCGCGCGATCTGTCATCCTCGAGTGGCGGAATGTGAGCCGTTAGATTCTAGGGAGAGCACACGATGACATGAGATGTGTTTTGCGTTTGGAGCGGTAATAGTTATTTTCCTGTTTTCTTTCAGTTGGCCATTCCCCACCCTCAGTCGAATCCCTAGTTCCCTCTCCTTCCCCATCCATGGCGATAGAGGCTCATCACACACCGGTGACCCCTTTGGCACAAATGTCCGTGCGTTGCAACGAAAAAATAAATAAAGGGATGCTGATGATAAAAATGATATACCGATTGAGAGTGAACATGCACATAACTGATTGAAGAAGGGAACTTAATGGGACATACCCTATGCATTTGGGAGACTTTATGTATCAATGACTGTTGAAGGAGAGAACTTAATGGGACATACCCTATGCATTCGGGAGACTTTATGTATCAATGCATCATGCACATAACTGATTGAAGGAGGGAACTTAATGGGACATACCATATGCATTTGGGAGACTTTATGTATCAATGACTGATTGAAGGAGAGAACTTAATGAGACATATCCTATGCATTCGGGAGACTTTATGTATCAATGTATCCGTCTTCCCTCGGCTTTCTGATTGAAATCAAATGCACAACATCGAAACATGAATAATTTGCATTTAGAACGTTTGCCTTGCCACTTAAGTCATTGTGTGTTTGCGGTGACCTCTTTTGACTAAAATAACAGCGGCTTCATCTCCCATTCTGAGGAGGTAGGAGGTGAATTAACTCTGGCGGACCTTCACAAGAGGCTCTTGCAAACAACGAAATTGAGGTTTCGCAAGCATGCATGCCTCACTGCCCATGAGATCACAAGATGAAAAAAAAGATGGCAATTCCATCAGAAAGGCCATATATACTTGATCGCAACCACATGTGCCAAGTCTGATTAGCATGCACGTGACGTTGCAGGTCCTTTTGAAGGTTGTAGGTCCTCGTCGTCGGCTGGTGTACAACACCCACCGCCGGGGCCGGGCCGCCATGGTGTGTGGTCACCGCCACACAGACCGCTCCTCTATGTTGGTCCGCCTCGCCGCCGAGCTGTTGCACTATGTGGTCGGCCGATGGCTAGCGCGGGCCGAACTGCTGCATCGTGCATGTCCGTCGGGTCACAGACTCTCGCATCAGTTTAGCAGCTCACAAATCCCACATCCCTATTAACATTAATTCATATTTATACTTTGGCATTTCAAAAACATGATGTCTGAGAGGTAATGCTTGGCGCTCTTTTTGTTGACACATTGCGGCAAGCAGTAGGAGCACACCCATATCCACTTCTTCCCTAGACATCATCACCGGGCCTCATTGGGGATCATGGTTAGGGCACATAGAGCTATGGGAGTGATGGTAAAACGGCCGGGAGTGCTGCCCTATCCCAGCAGGCGTGCGGGGGCGAAACATAACGTGAGCAAGATGAAGTGTTGTCGCATTCTTTCTACTCTTCATCCCTCCCTCTCCCCTTCATGTCTCACCAACGACATCGGTGACACCCAGAGTTGAGGAATATCTTAATTTTCAGCAAGTCTGAGTGAGCTCCAAATACAACCCCCCTTTGAGAAATATCTTGTTCCGATATTTCACTCACTTTTAATTATTGTATTCCTCCATTCCTAAATATAAGCCTTTCTAGAGATTCCAATGCAAATCATACGAAGCAAAATGAGTGAATTTATACTCTAAAATATGTCTATATACATCCATATGTAGTTCATATTGAAATCTCTAAATACATATATTTAGTGGCGGAGAGAGTATCTGATAATGTATTCATAAGATGTCGCAGACATGGACATTAAACTATGACAGTAACAACAAACAGCAAGTAATTAACCGCAAAAAGATCAAGTAATTATAATCGGCGAAATTACTTTACGGCGGTAGAATCTAGTACGATTTCCATCCGACGTGACAGCGGATGGTGAGGATGCTTATTACATATGCGATGGACGCTGCCTATTCTGCATCGTACAAAAGTAGTAAGAGACCTGTCGTATGTGAATTCTTATAATCGGTCACCCGCAAAGAAAATCTATTAATCGATACTCATATAGAGTAGCTAATCTTTGTATGTATTTATACATGATAATACAAAAGGTGTATTCTTTATGTATTTTCTTCAGAATATAGGAGACATAGATATGGAATTTGGAGATGCACAAAAAGAATTCATCAACAAGGGTTCCGAAGCGACGTCAAAAGGGGGCTTCATCGAATTTTTTACAACATAATGATGTGGAAGCGATGATATCTCATAAAAAATCAAAAAAGGATGCCAATTTAAATGTTACCGCGCATGTTTTTTTTTCAATGTTGTTATCGATCTTTCCATTGTCATATTGCCTAATTCACTCGTTTTTGTATCATGCCGACAGACTATGTTTGTACACATTGTTAATTTTCCATCTTGTGATCATTTTACATTACAAGTGAAATGAACTTCAATTATTATGCACTTGTGACCATGTTACATTGTCTCTACATATGGTCTTTACCTGTGAAATTTAGCGTGCATTATCTTTACATAACTTTAGAAAAATATTTCAGAAGCCCGTGGCAACGCATGGGCTTTCTACTAGTTTTTAGAAAAGTTTCACTCCAAAAAATCTTCCGAGCCTGGACCACCAACAGCAATCTTCTTGCTATGGTCCTTGTACGTGGGCTGTGTGTGAGTGGGCCAGTATGGGCCGGTGTGTGCATGTTGTAACGCCCGGATAATTAGGCTACAGTAAAACTCTTCTAATGATGCCATGTCATCTGTGTTACTGTTGCTAATCAAGTGGTAGTTCAAAATCATTGCAAATTCAAAATATGAATTAGTGACAAACACCCTAAGTTTTCAAAAGTCAAAGCGAAAATGTTCGGGGGTTGCCAAATATTGCACTCGTAATTATGGTGAAGCAAACACCTTTTTATAAAATGCCTAAATGCCCTAAAACTAAATAAAACAGAAAGGGAAAATAAATAAAAGAAAGAAATTACAAAAAAACAAAAAAAGGGGGAAGCCCCCTGGACCAGGCAGCCCAACCCACCCGCACGACCACCGCCCAACCCCCCTGGCCCGCAGCCAGCCTGGCCGGCCCAGCCGGCCCAGCTCCCGCACGTTGTCCCCTTCCCCTGTTCCCCCGACCCGGGTCGGAACAAGGCGCGTCCCAGCCGAACCCCCCTCGCCGGCGATGAGACGAGGGGATAAGGTCGCCACGCCGCGCCCCCTCGGTCTCCCCTCCCCACTCGCCCCCACTCTCGCCTCGGCTCCTGCGCCACTCCCTCTCTCCTCCAGATCCACCTCGCTCTTCCCCTTGCTCCCCACCACGTCCGAGTGCTGCCATGGACCCGCCGCCGTGAATCGCGCGGCCACAGCCATCGCCTCGCCACGCCTGCGAGTCCGTCGACGCCTCCATCGTCTTCCTCGTCCACCGGAGGCCTCAGCTGGAGCGGGGGAGCCCCGAATCACCGGATCCCCTTCGCCCTCATCTCCGGCGGCCGCGTTCTTCACCAACTCCGGCGACACCCCCCTGCTGCTACTAAACTCCCAAGGGCCATCTTGCGTGCCGCACGGTGAGCTTTTCCTCCCCCTGCTGCTCTTCGTGGGCCCCCCTAGCGCTCTGTAGCCAGCCGCCGCCATTGCCGAGGCTCTGGTCGCCGCGGCGTACCTCGCCGCCGTGGCCACGACCGCCGTCACGCACGCCCGAACTCGCCGTTGCACTTCTGGAGTTCCTAGGAGCCCAACGCGCCCGCGCAATAGCCTTCCCGTGCCTACTAGCGCGTTTCTCGTCGGGGACCCGACTGCGCCGCCGCCTGCGCGCGTCGCCGGCGCCCTTCCGGTGACCAAATGGTCACGGGGCCGAGCCCTTTGTGCTCAGCGCGTCGCGCAGGTCCACCCTAGCCTTCCCATTCGCCCCGAAGCGCGCTGTGTCGCCATCTTCGTCCGTGCCCGAACTGCAGCCCGCCGCGCTCATCGCCGGCGACCATTCCGGCCACCCACG